AGTAAATACAGTCCTGGAAGCCGCACAGCCTCGTTCTTTTAACTTTAACTTGTTCAAATCATTGTAGGAATAATAAAAACTTTTTTCATGGTATAAATGTAAGTAAACAGCGTCTGTTTGGCATCCTTTGTGCGCCTGTATGGTTCTTGTTTATGGGTCAGAAAATAATGAGCGGGAGGGGGGAAAAAAAGCCCAAAACGTCCCTGCAGCCAATCAGAAGCCTCCTCACCTCTGGGCACAGGAAGCGCAAAATGACCACCATTCTGGAGAAAACCATTCATTATTTTCAGACATGTTATTGGGGGCTGGGATCGTAACCCCTCCTGGGATAATGATTAGGACTTTCCAGACCTGCAGGAAAAACAAGCATTTCTGATTTCCAATCAAACAGCCAAACATCTGCCAGGAGCTGCAGGCACGTGCGTGTCCAGTTCACCTGTTGGGCTTCCAGCTTAATGAAACCAGTCAAGAGTTTCAGGTTTCTGCTCCTTCCTGTCATTAGAACATTCTTCTAAACTGGCCTTTCTTTGTTTAAAGTGTTTTCTTAAGATTTCTGTCCAAGTTTATTGAGGAATGTGTTAAATTATGTTTATGTTTTTTGGCTCAAAACACTTGGAAATATGTTTGTGAGCTTTAGGTTTTTTTGCCTGATTGAGATTTGTTTACTCGTTTAGAAAATAGTGAGACAAAAAAACAAACTGTTTTCTCTGAACTTCAAAATCTCTCTTTGAATGTAATTTGTTTGCGGAGTGTAAATACACTTCAAACGTTTTATTCTAATGGTTTGAAAATCACGAAACAACATATAAATTATCCGCCTGCCGACTCAAATTAACAAGAAGCGATGCAAAGTGTCACATGATAGATTTTACAAGGTTGGGTGTAGGTGTCAGCCAATATAAACCTCCAGTTCTGTCAGAAAGCTGGAAGTACACAAAAAAAACCAGCTTTACCTATAAGAAACCACCGTTCATGAGAGGGATATCCCCGGATTTGTTCTGGATTATTACGAATTTACCGACCTTAAAGTTCTTAAAATAAACTGAGCATATATAGTTTTTTTTAACCTAAATATAGTCATGATTTTGAAGATCTATAAATCACTTTGGGAGGATTTAATAGAACATTGTAAGCTTAGGATCTCTATAAAACTGATTTAGTTTTCTGGAATGGTCTGTTAGTTTGTTCTCCTGTGGTTACTTTAAGGAATCAGATTCACCCCCAAAAAAGTACAAAAGCACTTTGTGAAATAGTCAGAATCAAACAATTCTTTTAAAATTGCTGGTTTTAATAAACGGTATTTAAGCAATGAGATGTTTCTTTATTAACTACTGTTTCAGATCACCCAGCTGAAGATTGAGAACAACCCCTTTGCTAAAGGCTTCCGTGGAAGTGATGATATGGAGTTACACAGGATGTCCAGAATGCAAAGGTAGCTTCATCATCTTTAATTGATCTTGGAGGGAAATAATCCCACATGTGCTGAGTGATGTCAGATAAATGTCTCATCAGCTGGACAGGAAACACTGACATCCCTGTTGTCACTTAGCAAGCCCGGCTTTAATGCTTCAGTCGCCCAAACGCAGGCCGGTTCTGATTGTTTCTCTTTCAGTGAGTGTTATTTTCAGTGATGTAAGTGTAGTTTTTGATCATCGGCCAGTTTTCATGCTGAAGACTTTTATGGCTGATCTGGCAGAACCTCTGAAACGAGACAGAGCTTTATGTTTTTTTTTTCTTTTTATAACTAGAAAGCTCCAATTGCTTTTGTTCGTGTGTGTGTGTGTGTGTGTGTGTGCGTGCGTGCGTGCGTGCGTGTGTGCGTGCGTGCGTGCGTGCGTGCGTGCGCGCGTGTGTGTGTGTTTGAGTTGAACTGGTGAGTATCTCTCGGTCAGGCAGCCAAGGCTGTACAAGACCGCTTTAGTCTCTGTTATTCAGTCCAGATGATGACTGGAGCATGGAAAACACGTTTTCAAAGGAGAAAATCTGGTTTTGCAAAAACCCACTGCCCCCTTTCT